ACTTTCCTTCGTCCTCTATCTTTCAATCTCTCTGTCTTTCAGTGGCAGCGGTACGTGGCCGACAAATAGATGGAGCGAGCAGCATCCAGAAGGAGGCTAGACTTCGTCGTCGATTTGAGCGCGGCTCCGCCTGGTTCTCTTCCGTCGTCGATTCGAGAGCCGAATCTCCCTTTCTTGTTCGTCGGATTCATTTAGATGGAGAAATCGAAGATGCCATTAGGTCGGATGGGGAAGACGATGGGTCCGGAATCACAATTTGGGTATGGGATTCAAATGAAAGATTGGGAATTCAATTTGAGGATTGGGTCTGGAATTCAATTTGGGTCAGGGATTCAATTCAATCTGTGTCCATTGATCCTTTGATTTTTAGGTTTCGTCTGAAGAAGATGATATGAAAATGAAGGAGGGGGGAGAGGGCAAAGTCCCATTTTTCAATTTTTATTGTTTCAGTTTCTTGTTAGAATATGTAATTTTATTTTTAAGTACTAACTTTATTTTTTATTACTTTATATTAAGTGACGTGGCAATAAAAATACAAATCATATGCCACATCTTTGGTCAAAATTTGACCGTTGACTATTAACAGTCAAAGTTAACGGAGATTAAACTTCAGGACATAAGTGACGCGGTATAAACATAAGGGTAAAAGTGACCTAAACCCTAAACTATGGGCCCTTTTCTGGTATTAGGCCTATAAGATACCATATAACATTCTCTCCTTGTGTTTATTTTCTCTCTTTATAACACTTGAAAAAACTGAGTGCAGAAGGTTGCGCCACAACCGTTGACACACACTCAACAACCGATATCTATGTTCTTGTTTCTATATCTTAAGAACCAATTGATCTAAATATATAATTCAAAGATGTTTGGAGAAATAATTAAGAACGAATGATAAAGCATTCTCTTAGGTAGGGGTGGGCAACGATTCGATTCATATCGCACCGAATCGACTCTCACACCGAATCGGATCGAACTGTTTATCTTTCGATTCGACTTTGGTTCCCGAATTTGGGACATTTTCTGTTTTGGTTCGGTCCAGACCGAAACCGTAAAATCAAGCTAAGGACCGGATCGAATCGTAATTAAATTAATTGCCTATTTTATTAGGCTCTGAGAAGGAAAGTCGACTTGGAGTTGAAAAACCTAGTACCATACACAACACTTATGACTTAACTACCTATAAATATGATTGACTTTCTCTGACTTTGACTCGCCACTCCCGCTCCTATAGTCCTATCCTCAAATCAGAGCTTTCATCCGCCTTGCTTCGATCAAGAGGCTGCTTACTTTACCTACATACTGTGAGAAGATGCGAATAAATGACACCACAGAGGCTTCAGCCAAGTCTGACAACACCACTGCAAATTAGCAAGGTTAAGAACCATTTGTTTTATTGCACTAGTTCTTGGAGTAAGTGTCACTTTGCTAAACTCCTTTCTAATGCCTTATATCATGTGCTTATATGGCAGAAGAGAGGCTTTCTAATGAACAGTGAAAATTCTGGAGATAGGGCGGTCCAACGTGCACTATGAAAATGAAAATGGAAGATTAGAGAGGCAATTAGCTAGACTACATTTGAGTTTGAATAAAAAGACTTTTGTCTTTTAGTTAGTTAAGTAGTTCTCGTTTAGCTTTTTGCATAATATTTTGGAACATGTGGTTTTTAAGAATTGTGGAGTATTTAAATTGGGATAATTTGATTACTTCTTTTCGTGTAGTTACATTTTATTCGAATGAAAGATTAGTCGGTCCAATGGGATGGTCCGGCCCGAATCGAGCCATATATGGTTTCATCCAAACCGAATCGAAGTAATAATGATTCGACTTTGGTCCTTGATTTAGAAGAAATTTTGGTCCGATCCGAGTATAGTTTGGTCCGGTCTTAAACTGAATCGACCGATGCCCACCCCTACCCTTAGGTGTGAAGTTTGGGTAGTATATATGGTGAGTATTCACTCGTTTTAATAATAATAATAATAATATATTACATTTCATTTAGCTCATAGGTCGAGTTGGGTTTGGCTATGGTCCGTTGATGGCCGGTTAGGTTCGAAATTGCGTTCATCGGTAGCTGAATCAATATTTTAATACATTCATCATGATTTTTCCCATGACATATAATGTCATTGTTAAAATAAAAGGAAGATAAAATAATATAACTAACTGGCAGTCTGGCCTCATATTGGATAATAACACGGGAAACCAATCGGTATTATCGTAAATTGCAAGTTTCCCAACAATAAATTAGTGAGCACTTCTACTATACTATATAGTATTGGTGCTTTACCATAACATTAACTGTATAAATTTAGGTTGTACCATAAAACAATTTGTATCATTATGTTATGGTACAATTTTACAACTTGAAGTTGTACCATCACATAATGGTACAAGTTCAAGTTATACCATAAAAGAATTTGTACAAAAAAATAAGTACAATCTGAAGTTGTACCATAACGTAAATGTACAATTTTAAGTTGTACCATAAAGACAAAAACCTATAACACCAATACTATATAGCATTGTAAAATTTCTCTAAATTAGCTAACATGAATTTCTTAGAATATTTATGTACAGAACCGGCCTAAATAATTAATGATTGGGTTTGTGTCGTTGCCCGTTGGACCGGCGTTTGGCCCGTCTGGGCAAGAAAGACTGAACGGCCAAATATCGCAGTCTGGCAGAAGAAAGAGCCCAGTTACTACAAGCCCAAAACTGCCCTTAACTCCCCCATCCCCAGCCCATTGGAAATCTCACCTCAAAGATCAAGAAAAGAAGAGAGAATGATGAATCCATTAGGCATATATAGTTGACGATGATGATTATGAATGACTGTAATATAGTGTAGGGCTGAATTGCGGGGCAAGTGTCCTTTGGCAGTAAGCTTAGCTTCGTCACTGGTTAACCAACAATGGCCAGAGCGAACTAGTAGCAGCGCGCCTGCCAAAGGAGTTATTGCCCAGTAATGCATCCATACGAGTTCGTCGATGTCTTTTTGCTTCATATATCAACTTGGAACCTAACCATGTTTATATATATATGTTTAGAAATCGAGGGCTTGAATGAGATAAAGGGGAAAAGTGTGTGCCACTTTCTTTCTCCATGTAGCTAGTAAGCATATACCGTAGCACATTCTGTTTGGATTTTTTTGAATTCTCAAAGTGGCCATCTTATTCTTAGGATTTTTAGGGCATTTGAATATGAAGTCTCGGGTTTAATACCGGTGATGATAATACCACTAAACCAATCGTGTAGGTATAAATCTGTTCGAATTACTTTATATTTTACCCAAGTTAATGTAGAAAAGTCACTAAGGAGTAGGGGGTGTTCAAACGGAGTGGCTACCGTGGTAAACGTTTTAACCGGTAGTATTTGGATATAATTTGGATAATTGATTTGGTTTGGTTAAAACATTTAGCTAGTTTTGTTTGGTTTCAGACACTGCTAACCGTTCAAACCAAACTAACCAATTTAGTAATTAGCCATATATCTAATATATATATTATATATACACATACTTAATATATACTTTGCATAACCACTCAAGAGTCAAATCGTACGAATAAATTGTATTAGCTACATGTATTTATGTTAAGGGTTAACTATAATTATGGGGTGATTGTTATTTGTTTTTCATTATATAAATTGTGAATTGGTGCACTAACGGGAAGTTTTCCCACTTAATGATAGTGTGATGTCGTATTGGTTATTCTGGTTAGCCAATAAACCAAACTGATTAAAATTTAGTTTGGTTAATTTGGTTGTTATATTAGTTTGAACGATTTGGTTATGATATTGTATTTCATAATTGATAAAATTTAGACTTATTTGATTCGATAACTATCATGGTAACCATTTGAACGCCCCTACTGAAGAGTAATTTGCATGAGTAAATTTACACGCACCAAATGACTTGTTTGTCAACCGAAAAAGACCTCATGTAATTTTTTTTAACAAACAACACATTTGAGCACGTCCACATTTTCGAATATCTATATTTTTCAAAATGTCTGGATATACACACCAAACATTAATCTACGCATAAGAAATGACCCATCTCATTTAGTAACTGAGATCATCAAGTTTCGGGGGATCCGAGAGCTCGAGGACTTTTGGTATATCTTGATCAGAATTAGAATATGAGGATTTTGGCTCAGAGACTAAAGCGAGGATCTTACAGAGCATCAAATATATATTCTCTCCTTTTCCTTGCTCTTAGTCGCTGCAATAAGGTTGCGTTCCTCTATCATCTGATGTAGCCGATTGGTTTTACGTACGTACGCAGCGTCTCGAGGCAATGGTATAAACGAAGGATGATTCTCCGCATAAATAAATGCAGCAATATTGATTTTGCTGCGATATGAATCTGAAAACTGAAAAGCATGCAGGGTAAAAAAGGAAGGAAAGAAGCCCGGCCATTCAGCCAGTGAAAGAGGCGGGGGGACAGGGGACCAAATTCACCATTAACAGATGGAAGAGAAAGCCTAGAGATTCAGGTAGAGGAATGATCTCGGGCATATGCCATTATTTCATCTCTGGCAATGGCAACAAACATTTGTACTATCCCAAAAAGCCAACTGCAAACAAATGACATCATGGAGAAAGAAGCCTTTTTCTTCCCTTTCTTTTCCCCCTTCTGCCTGCCTTGCTGCAAAAAGCTCTTGGAACTGTTGCAAATGGTCTAGGCACTTGTGCGATAGAAACAGAGCTGTTGTCAGCATCTCCATGGCAACAAAGGCATTAGCTGCTAGACCTAGTGCTGGAAGTTCACAATTGGGGAAAACTCTTTAGAACCAAAGACTTTCTTGCCACTAAGCATGCAAAGCAACCAGAAGGGTTGGTAGAACAATACAAACACACACTAACAAAAAGAGAGGCAGCGAGAACAGCAGAAGGAGTGGAAGCTTATACCTTCTACAGATGCTGTCAGCTGAAAGACATAACCATGCACAATGTACTACCAGGAAGATCCAAACTTGGTGTTTCGAGCAACAATTCTAACAAGCTTCTGGGGTGATGTTTCTCTCTGCTGATAAACCCTTCGGCCTAACCTCCTCACAAGCCATTCCAGAATCACCAAGCAGCTTTCTGACAACTGGATGATTCAGTTGATTTTTCGACGTTAAATCCATCAGCAAGGACATTGTGGTTGTATCAGCTGTGAAACCCTTGGACAACATTTCTTGGATAAGATCCCCAGCTTCAAATGGACCTTTATGCTGAAGAAATCCATGGATAATCACGTTATAAGACTTGCAGTTTGGTGGACAAGTAACCCCTTCCATTGTTCTAAACAAATTGTATGCGTCATCTACCAAACCTTGCCTACAAAGTCCATTGATTACTATGTTATATGTGCGGGTAGTTGGCTTTAAGCAGTCACCTTCACTGAGGGTAGAAAACATTTCCCTTGCTTCATTAACCCTCCCTGCTTCAAACAAACCAGCAATAATGAAGTTATACATAGGAACATCGGGCTTCAACTTATTACTTTTCATTGCTTCAAATAGAGCCAGTGCTTTGTCAAGATAGTCTCGGTTGCACAAATTAGCAAGCAAAGTCCTATATGTCGCAAGATTTGGGGATAAACCTTGACTGCATATTTTCTTGAGAAGCTCTTGTGCATCTTCAAGCCTCCCTGCATGGCAATATCCATTCATGAGAGTAGTATATGTAATAGTGCAGGGAGACAATGAATGATGCAATGAATCAAAAATTCGGCCTTATGAACCAAAATCAAGTACATGTTACTTTGTGAAACAATATCGTTTCTCGTAATATGATGAGGTGAAGTAAGTTTTATAGAAACCGAATTCCAGAAAATCGAATAAAAAATCGCCTATCCCGTCGATTTTCGGGAAATGAGCATCTCACAATCGTTGCTAGCTTTTACTCGGCCCGTTGGTTGATTAATTTGCTTTATAAAACTTTCATCTTGTCGTCATTGTTTTTTCTAGTTTTTGTTAGGCCATGATAAAATCTAAGGAAATCAAGAACGAAAAACACGATTTGGGATAGGAACCGCCGTTGTCGTATCCCTAGAAAATGATCGTAAACACAGACTCACCTGCCAAACTGGTTTGGATTGAGATTTTTAGCGGGTATCAGGGAACCATGTGATTATAAATTAGACTTGATCAAAACGGGTCAAAACTTGAAATTCAGCATGTTTGACCGACCCATGCCAAATTCTAATTATTCTTTACTTTTAAACTTTCTATTTGAAAATAAAAAATAGTGAAAGAAAAGAGATGACTGCAATTCGCCATTTGCACATCACTTATTCGGGAATAAAACCATAAGAATTCAAAAGGAACTGAAAATGTTTAGGATCGTTTTAATATTTAAAATAACCAAATAGATCGTTCTGTTTAGTTTTTTACTAACAAATACCAAACGATTCCCTATAAAATACACTATAATTTGATCATTATGATATCAAATAATTATATAATATATATTTGAAATGATAAAAATTGGACTAATTGGGTTGGTCGAGGTTGAACCATTGAATAACTTTAAAATACATTATATTTTAGCCACTAAGATATAAAACAATAGCATAATATATATTATGCCAGAGAAAATAGCTTGTTTTAGACTGACAAACCAATGATGTTCATTTGTTTTAGTTGATGGCCAAATCCCGTGTAGGTCAGGCCCATTCAACTCTTTTATTTTATGGTTAGCGGTTAGCCCATTAGATACAATGCATTAGTTTATTGTTAAATTTTTTATTTTTAGCAATAAAAAGGAGTATTGTTTTTGCCTTTTCATATATATTTTATCACCACGGAGAAATAAAAGGGATTAAAGAAAAAAATTGACACTCCTGGACCCGTTTAAATCCGCATGTGTACGGTAAGTTGGCCCGTTCCACAGAGGAAAGAGAAAAAAATTGACAGTCCCTATTCTACCCTTCCTACAAACGCTCCTGGAGCAGAGAATTTGAAATGGGGAAGGGTTTTTTCCTCCCTGCTATTATATGTTTTTTATTTAAAAAGATACAACAAATGTACTTAGTGTGATTGGTTATGATCCTTGCTTTTTTTTTAAATGGACATGGTTCGAATCCCAGTACGTGTCGTTTTAATGAATACAAAAAGTAATTGTGAAGACTAAAATGTCCTTCCTACATTCACTCTCGTTGCAGGAAATTTGAAATGGGGCTCCCGTTTTTCCCCTCGGTGTATTATATTATGTGTAGATTTGAGCACGTCCATATTTTCGAATATCTATATTTTTCAAATGTCTGGATATATACACCAAACATTAATCTACGCATAAGAAACGACCCATCTCATTTACATTTAGTAACTGATATCATCAAGTTTCGGGGGATCCGAGAGCTCAGTGGCGGACCCAGAATTGTCGGAGAGGTGTGTCGCCGATAAAAATTAAATATTAAATAAAAAATTATTAAAAATTAATTTATAAAGTTCACAATATCATGTTTACAATGAATCAAAATGACTTTTCATCTACTTAAATGTCTATAAAATACATTCATCACTTATGCTGCAAAGCAAATCTTTTTCAAATATACACAACAATCATTCATAAATTTGTCACCCAACCGATTTCGAAGATATCGTTCTTGATTATCTTCATAGCTGAAAATGCTCTTTCGCAGCTTGCATTTCAACATATAAAGTCATACCAACTTCAAAAGCAAGTATTCTGGTGAGTCTCGACAGTTGTCGCTTGGGCTTTGGTAATTTTTTTGTTTCTCCATTAATGAAAGGACCCATCCCAGCACACATGTATATTGGTATGACCTGTGGGTTTTTTTAATAGCAATTGATATGATTATGAGTTATTTTAAACAAATTAAAAATAAATTTTGTTAATTAGAATTTAAAATTGATTCATTTAAATAATAAAAAATTTCCAGTCTAATGAAGGTGTGTCGACTATAATTATCGAAGGGTTGTCGGAAGTCCAGAACTTAAAATTTTTGTACCGAAAATATGTAGGTCCTTCACAAAATTCTCGGACGAGGGTGTGTCGGGACGACACACCCTCCCTTGCCTTGGGTCCGCCACTGCGAGTAGGGGTGGGCAAACGGTTCGGTAAACCCGAACCGAACCGAAACCGAATTAAACCGAACCAAAACCAAATTAATGCTATTCGGTTCGGAATTCGGAAGGAAAATATGGATAGTTCGGAAATCAGGGTTCTTTCAACAGAACCGAATTTCCGAATTTCCGACCGAAAAACCGAAATACTATAATTGCAAGCTCCAAATGGTGGATTTTTATGTTTGTAGTTGTTTTTAGACTTAAATATTTGAAATGTTTTATGACTTATGTGTTGAAAAGTTTGGTTTTATCATTGATAATGCATATAATTGATATTTATTGTTTATATTAGGGGTGAAAAATAATTTAAAAGTGAGAAAATACATGTAGCTTCACAAATTCGGTTTTGTGTGAAAAACCGAACCGAATTATAATTCGGTTTAAACCGACCGAACCGAATTATAATTCGGTTCGAATTCGGTTTGAGGTTCGGGAGAATTCGGGGACCCGGTATTCATAATTTCGATTTGGTCGAAACCGAACCGACCGAATGCCCACCCCTAACTGCGAGAGCTCGAGGACTTTTGGTTATCTTGATCAGAATTAGAATATGAGGATTTTGGCTCAGAGACTAAAGTGAAATAAAGCATCTAATAGATATATTTTCTCCTTTTCCTTGCTCTTAGTCGCTGCAATAAGGTTGCGTTCCTCTATCATCTGATGTAGCCGATTGGTTTTACGTACGTACGCAGCGTCTCGAGGCAATGGTATAAACGAAGGATGATTCTCCGCATAAATAAATGCAGCAATATTGATTTTGCTGCGATATGAATCTGAAAAGCATGCAGGGTGAAAAAGGAAGGAAAGAAGCCCGGCCATTCAGCCAGTGAAAGAGGCGGGGGGACAGGGGACCAAATTCACCATTAACACACATATATACGATGGAAGAAAGCCTAGAGATTCAGGTAGAGGAATGATCTCTGGCATATGCCGTTTCATCTTTGGTAGCGCATATCCATTGCAATGTGCGAATATAACAACACAAATATATAATATAAACGGCAACTTCGTTTTGGAAGCTCATCATCGGGCTGCATGGGAGCAAGATATGATTAAGGGGTAGTGAAGAATAACAGTGCAATACTCCTTTGGCAGGAATCTGATCATATGGCTGCACTTATTATGGAATTCTGCCATAGGAGAATTGCCCTGCCATTCAACTGCCCTACGGAAATGGCGGGTTTGAGAAGCATGCAATCGTCGCCGGGAGGATTTTTGGGTTGTTTCATCTGAACTGGATGCATGGCTGCCGGTCGGACAGACAGACGCCGGAGGGGAGTTTAGCCAGCGACGGAGGTCCAGATCTGCTGTATAGGGGCGTTCAAACGTTGTGGTTATCAAGGTAATCAGTTTAACCGGTAGTATTTGGTTAATTTGGATAACGGTTTGGTTTGGTTAAATTTTTTAGTTTGTCTGGTGTAGGTGGCTTGGTTTGGTTTTAGACACTGATAACCAACCAAACCAAACTAACCAGTTAAGTAATTAGTCATATATCTCATAAAATATTATATGCATGTACTTAATATTTTGCATAACCGCTTAAGTGTCAATCGTCTTCCCTATTAGACTTATTAAAAATCAAGTTCTATATTGTTCTTATACTGTATATTTGTATTTGTAGAGTGTAGACCACAACATATGGACTCCTAATTGTAGATAAAAACTCATACAAAATGATGGATGAAAACTTGAAAGGAATGTCTATTTCAACCAATGATAATATATTTTAGAATTATTAGGTTTAGTAATTACCATGGTAACCATTTGAACACCCCTAGCTGCAGTACCATGATTCTCCAAAGATGTCCATATCTCTGTTGGGGGTCGTCAATTGGGAGTACATATCACAAAGACGGTCATATAGTGAATCGAGGATGTATCCTTTGCAAAGCAGGCTGTCAACGTTCCTCTTCTGGCGTTCTGCATTTAGTTCATCAGAATCAGTGTCTTATGGTTCAGAAAGTGGTGACAATTCAGGATCCCGTATGTACACGATCTTCAAAGCAGTCAACAGAAACTTCAATTTCTCTTGCCAGCGGGTGAAATTGATTCCATCAAACCGATTGAGTTTGTTGAAATCTGAAGAATACGCCTTCAAAGTATTTTCTAGCGAGTGTTTATTTGCCTCCACTACATGCTAATAGGATCAGACAAACCACCACCAGGAGTTCCTTCAACCAACATTCGGAACATCGACTTACATATTTATGTGTTTATTAATACAAAAAGAAAAACAGAAAGAAGATGAACACATGAAAAAAGAGTTACGGGTTGCTTTGTTTGACAATATAATCAAATATTAATTAATCACATATTGTATATTTGTATTTGTAGATTGTATACCACAACATATGAACTCCTATTTTAGATAAAAACTCATAGAATATGATGGAAGAAAACTTGAAAGAAATGTCTATTTCAACCTATGATAATAGATTTTAGACTTATTAGGTTTGGTAATTATCATGCTAATCATTTAAACACTCCTAACTGGCGTACTGGTGAATGCCCGCGAAGGAAGTTTTTACTCGATCACTTGTTGAGCTGATGTGGGCCGTCTTTCCATTTGGGGTAGGTGT